CTCGTGATCCGCAATGGAAAACTCAGAGAAGCTTTTGAATTGAATACAGGAGGAAGACAAGGATGTCTGCGTATGATCACCAATGATGGTATTCCTAATTGTGGTGGAGTGGAGAGCTAGAAGACAGGAATATGTTGAACCGACAAGAAGACTCTAAAAGATCTGGATTTCGCGTGTAGATAATTCATGTCTAATATCACACAAACTCGAAGACTTGCAGGCAGGCGAAAACTGACAAACTGGCAGAAGATGCAATGTGGAGAACACAGGACTCCAGGTGGACATAGAGAAGACGGAGGTGAAGATAACCAGCCAACCAACCAACAGCAACAACAAACACCATCGGTGGGAGAGATTTGACAGAGGTTACTTCCTTCACTTATTTGTCCAGGAAGCACCGTTTCAACCACAGGCGACAGCCCGGATGAAGATGTCAAAGCTAGCCAGCCAGCCAGCCAGAATCGCGAAAGGCAAGATACACCTTCATCAACCTGAAACCAGTTTGGGAATCTGCTGTTTCAATCAGCTAGTTAGTATAAACAACAAGATCCAGATTTTGTTTAACACAAATGTCAAGTTAGTCAGTTGTTCTATTAAGGTCAGAAACCTGCACTGCGAGTCACGTCAAGTACTTCCAACAGATTGTAGACTTCCACCAACAGCTGACTCTATATTGGAGATCAAACAGCCGGCTGTGTGGCCAGAAAGAATCGGCAACGAAAAAATATGAGAACAAGAAAGTGGAAATGCTTTTGGAAGTGTGTGGGTGGTTGTTACTTGTTACTTCCCGGCTGCCCATACCGTGGAAGTTGATTGATCCTTCAAGTACCTAAAACAGAGTGTTGCGTGACCGCAGAGACCAGGGGAAAACTGCTCGAGGCCCGTCACACATGGCTTGTATGAACCGGTTTCTAGGATTGGGTCTGTATTACTAAACTTACCGCCGGTTACGGAACACCGTAGGGTAAATCGGGATGTACAATTCTTGGGGTCGATCTTTTCTAACCCCCTCTCTCCGAAGTGGAGAGACAGCACAGCTGGCTGGTATGCTGGTCATTTGAGGGAAACACCTCACTGCGGTTACACCCCCGTTCTCCAGCAGTACGACTTCACCCTCAGACCCCCAGCATAGTGTAAGAAAGATTCTTGCACAATGCCGGTAACTGCTTTGAGTCTAGTCGCTATCCTAACATTCTTCCTGACATGGTAAGACCTGCAGGAACATATGTTCCAGTCAGTGCAGCTTGTTGGTGCATCGCGATGTGCAAGCCCGACCACCACGTCAAGGTAGCAGCTATCGGTCCGGGATATGAGAACAAACTAGCCAAGAACCTTTCGTTCAAAAAATATATGGGAGGAAATGGAAATGGATCGGGCCCATGCTACTGAGGAGACTGTCAAATAACATTGCACTCAGTGCAGGCCATCGCTCGAGTGAAACCCGAATGGGTTGTCAGTGGGAGGGTGGTATGAAGAGTCCGTGTGGCAAAGAGATGAGATTATGTGCAATCATAGGCACGGTCAGTCAAAGAGGACCGCAGAAAATAGAAGTGGTGATAAGTTGTTGAAGCCATATGTTCCACTAGGAAGCCAAGGGAACAATAATAATAATGATAATAATAACTATATATAAAGTTCCTGTTTCGTAGATGGAGACACTAAAGTAAGTCTATCGTAACACACCAGAAATATGCGGGATATTTGTAGGTTAGCTAGCGCCATCCTCTTCCTAAATGGGAATTCTGAACACCTTCGCAAAAATCACTTCAGTTATACATCGCCTTCCAGTACGCGTATGTCTAGTTTAGTAAACATTATGCATTAATTCCAGTCAGCAATGAAATGACCTTAAACCCCAGGACTCAGAATCATATAAAATCAATCAACATAACTCAGCGATTTAGTACTGTATACACACTTGAATGTACACCGAAAATGCAAGGAGGCTTCCTCACAAACTGTACTATTATAAAGTGTCGTAAACGCCACGCCCTGAAACACACACTGTTGCACACCGAGTACAAACACCAAGTACGCGTTTCTTTCGAATCAATACAAGCGTAAAAGCAACTAATGATATAGAAAAAATATCGATTATATACCAAAAAAAGAGAGAAAATAAAATTGAACTGCACTTCTTAAATACCCTAAAAGTTGACAATGTCAATCATGTGATTTCTATAATATATCATATGAGTGAAAATAAACATATAATTATAACCAATGTTTGTGCATGGAGACTATGCTTAGCTATGTTGAAATGTTAGTCGGATAAACATGCATTCAAATTAGTTTGAGTGGTAACACCATTACTGTTCCGAACTGGTAACATTACAAGATAACACCGACTAGCAGAAAGAATACCAGGACAAAATGGACCTGGGAGACTACAAAGTGTAAACGCGTCTGAGAACAACCACTAGCAGTCTGGAGTCATTGGTTTTTAACAACTCAAGGCAGACAGTCTGAACAACCCCAAGTGTCTAACTTAAACTAGCAAACAAAGACTTTACGCAATGATGTCATGTTCTGACCACCCCTAGCTCCTTTCTAATCTAATCCTAAATTATATGTGCATCGGCGGCACAGCTGTTAAGACGTTCGCCAACCATGCACATGGTCCGGGGTTCAATCCCCGGCCGATGCACTTCTTTACCTCGCTAAACCAGTAATAAGACTGGTGAAGAGGAAAGATTGGGTACGAGGCTAGCAACCCCGTCCTGTAAAATTAAACACTGCTACAGAAACCTCAAGCCACTAGCTTGAGACCCTATGTTCCACCGGGAACGTGAAGAAAAGAAAAAAAACACCACTTAAAACGAGGGGTAGAACGCAAAGATTTTTATTTGAAGACATGTTAAGATAAACTTCGTGCTTCATGAAGCAAATACCCCTCTGTGACGAAAATCATAGGAAAGTTATGCAACTCATATCCACCTTGTCTTAGAGATAATGTGTACCACTGTTCCATAATTACTGTACAAGTGACAAACTATCTAGGAATATACAACCTTGAATATTTTGTACTTACTAACCATAATTTGCTATAACTCGACATTCCCGGTTAATGGTTAACAACACAAGATCGTTATGACTGACTGGTTGGTTTCAACGTGGAACTTTGCACAGAAGTGCAACATCTCTGACTTACTAAACGTGATATCTGACTCGTCGACTAAAAGCGTGTACTGATCAGCGGTTCGCTGTCTTCCTTTATGTCTGCGAGTGAGACATGACCGTTGAAAGTGGAAGATACGCCAAGCTTGACTGGCTGTCTCAGATTATGTGTCTGCGTACTATTTCCCGTGTGTGTTCCGTTGTATAAAAAAGGTGAGCAATATTGAGCTCAGGCTTCAGTCGAGTGCTAGGTAAGGAAACCACTCAACAAGGTTGTGAAGTTACATAGATTGAGACAAACGGTTAGGACATGTGTTACGCAGGCCTAGCCTAGCCATCGCATGCCTTTCTCGACAACAGGCAATGTTAGCCACTGACGTAGGATGGATCAGGTTGGAAAAAGAGTTGGCTAGTGGTGGTCTAATCAATACATAGCTTCATCAGTCAATGAAATCCACAACAGTTAGTTTAAGCTAGCCAGCTAGACACATAGGCAAGTGATTAGTTGGGATCCTCGAGATGGTGAGAACCAATGGTGGTGGTTGGACAATCAGTGATATGGCTCAAAATCGTTCTCAATGGGTGGCGCAGATGAATCCACTCTTTGTGATTTGTCATATCCAATAAAACTTAACTGTTCTCCCAAATTACTATTTCTTGCCTCATATTCCTGTTTATAGTCACTCTTTACTCTCTTCTCTTGCTTTGTGTGCTGCCAGGAGGGAGTGTGGCAATTCGAACTGGAGCACGTCTATGCAAAGTTCTACGTTGAAACCAGTCAGTCAAAATGTGTGGAAGGGTGAAGATATGATCAACACATCCTCCTCCTGGTCTAAAGACTGTCTGGTTCTCTTGTGTTTGTTCCTCCCGAGCACAAGATCTTTATGTTAACAACTCTCGAGATGAATTGTACTAAACACAACGAGCAAGTTTATGACTAACAACATCTGCGGTCGAAAAAAATACCGAAATTGAAAGGAAACAGTGATCCAAATCAACGACTTCAAAGTAGAGCCAGCCAGTTAAAGTATCTGTCGACGATATCATTAATTTACAAGAAATACCCGTGAACTATGATCCTAGTTCTATTTCCACAACTACAGGTTGTGTATCCATGGTGGTAGTATAAAATCACAGTGGTTCGGTGTATATATCAGAGACTGAGTTTCATCACTAAACAATTTCAAACCTCAAATCAACATTACTGCATCAGTGATGCTGACACGCACACATTGACAACCCCCTTTGAAAAGTAATTTAGGAAAATTGCTCGTTTTTTAATCGCCACACAGCTATGTTTCATGCGTATTTCACAACTGGCATTAAGCTAACAGAAACAGAGAAAAATTTTGGAGTTATTCGAAAAAGGATACCCAAAATTTATGCTTTCAATCAGACAGCCAATCATCATGCCGTGGACAAAATCAATCAAACAGCACTACCTACTACTAATCGTCTGTAATCAAAACCAAACATGATCAAAACATTTACTCCATGTTTCATATTTTCATTGAGCTATACAAATCGATACTAGCCGGGGGCACAATGCAAGGTTTGCTTATAGATTAAAAGCTTGTTTCCAAATTTGTTGTATAGTTGAGTACAGCATTTAAAAATTTTTGATGTGAATACTGTGCGCAGTACATCGCACGGTGTGGAGGGGGAGGGAAACAAAGGAGATGAATAAGAAGAAGAAAGAGGAGAATAAAAGCTGTTTCAAGCACCAATAATAAAAAGGAACCAAACAATGATACAATACAAGTGAACATTTTTAAAATTATTTTATTTCCTTGAAGGGTTATTCACTTTTCAGACATACTAAAACATTCAAAGTAGGCATGAAGTAAATGTTGTTCAACTGAGAGAGAAAAAAGTCATTCTCCTTATTCCAAACGACTTTTCTCATCAAAATCTTCAACGAGATCAGGTACATCATCATCTCCGTCCTCGGCTTTGGAGTCTGCTGCCTTTGCACCTTCTGTAAAAACGAGAGATAATTGGAAAAAATAACATAGCATAAATAACTAGTTAAACAAATAGAGCTGTTAAGAGATTTGTAAGTAAGCTGTGAAAATCACCCACAATTAACTAGCAATGAAAAGTCTTAACCCAAAATTTACCCAACACTACTATTCCTTGGTTACCGCTTTTTTTTCCTACACGTTCCTAAGTGGAACATAGGGCTTTAAGCTAGAAGGCTTGAAGTTTCTGCAGCAGTTTGTTTTTACAGGATGGGGTTGCTAGCCTCATGCCCAACCTTTCCTCTTTACCAGAATTATTTCTGGAGTGCGTCGACCGGGGATCGAACCCCGGACCATGTGCATGGTCGGCGAGCGTCCTAACCGCTATACCACCGACGCAGTGTAATTGACAGTGTTGGCACAACGTCAAATTTAACCAGAGCACTGATGCAATGCACAACTTATGACAAAATCGTTTACAGTACATGACAACTTAGATAAAAGTTTATAATATTCATAAAGGTTCACATCTTTTCATCTCAAGCAAAAGAGTCAAATCAATAGATGGAAATCTACGAGCAACGAGCATAACGATGAGGCTGAAATTTATTATTAATAACATTCAAGTCTGTTTAAATTTAAGTATATTGTCAAAAATACAATTTTTGTGATCTTTGATTATTTCCACTCTTGATCAAGTACATTACACACTCACGGGTCTTTAAGGGCTAACTTCAGATGACTGACTACTAAATTTCTAGTAATTTAGTTTGGTCGTGACATGACTAACATATTACGCTCGGTTTGGCTAGTACATACATTGATGCACCATCAACGATAAATATATAAAGGGAGAGTAAGTATGCTTTGTAAAATATCTATTCATACTCGAAGTACCACAAATACTTAACCTTTTTTTAAATTAAATTATAAAAGAATCGATCGTGCAAACCCAGAATGTTTTATTGCATTTTTGGTCACAAACGAATCAGCCAAAAACAACTAGGTGACAGCGATACTGTTTTCTGGTGACATCAGTTGAAAATTTCATTCGTATAGAGGGGATGTCAATAATGCTCACAAATGAAGGTCTTGCAGCTTCATTTCTTTAACTGGACCAGAATGACTGTTCAGAACCCTATCTACTAAGTATATGTATTGATGCACTTGGAATCTAGTTTCATCCATGAGCGACGGCTGATGATAATACTTGACTATCAGGTATAGACAAGTATATTGTCAGAGGTTGACAGCCAAGAGTCTTCCTTTATGGCTGTGAGACCTGTCCATTGAGAGTGGGAGACATGAAAAACTTGTCTAGCAGTCTTTCATCATAGGCGTCTGCGTTCTATCTCCCGTGTTAGGTGGTATAATAGGGTGAGCAATATTGAGGTTAGGCCTCAGTCGAGTTCTAGGTAAGGAGGGGAAATCAATCGACGAGGCTGTGAAATTACATCGACTGAGATGGTTAGGAGATGTGTTACGTATACCTAGCCTAGTCATCGCCTTCCTCGACAGGCTATGTAAGATGACATAGGGTGAGGCTGCAAAAGAGCTAGCGGCGGTCAAACCAAAGCATGGCCTCATCAGTTAATGAAATCCACAACAGTTAGTTTAAGCCACGTAGGAAGGTGTAGACTTCCTGGTTGGGGTCCTCGTGACGGTAAAAACCAGTGGTTGGAAACAATTGGTGATATGGCTCAAAATCGTTCTCAATGGCTGGTGCAGATGAATCCACTCACTGTGACTTATGATTTCCAATGAAACTATGTCGTTCTTCGTTATTACTATCCCTTTGTCTCACACTTCTGTTTACTGTCTCTATTATGCATTTCTTCTACTTTCTTCTCTTGGTTTGTGTGCTACATGGAGTGTGGCGACTTGAACTGCCGCACATCGGTGCGTAATTCCAGGTCGAAAACAGACAGACAGACATGTGTCAGTAATTGGAGATACATCGCTCAACACACAATGACTTATATTATCAATTTTAGAAGCATTTCAACATGCTAAGTCGATCTCAACCCACTAATACCAGGTGATTGAGCCATTATTAGTGAAATTAGCATTGAAGTACTGCTTAGGTTTCATTTCAAGAGATTGCACTGGAATGTGAGATGGGTTTCCAGATCAAGTTAGGCTGAGATACTAACAATGAGGTAAGAAATTGCAATCTGGATTGTCAAAATAACAGTTCTGTCCAGCACCACCTCTATTTAAGAAATATTTGGCGCAGGAGCCTTCAGTGCATAATTAATCCTACAATTCCATATTGTTTAGCATTTTATACCCTGGACTAACCTGTTTTCAAAAAAACAGCTATCCATGCTAATATTGATGAAAGCCTAAAGTTTGCTACGGCACAAGTGGCGAATTCAATAGTTACCATGCACTAATTTTGGTAATCGAATTGTAGTCTGGGTCCCCAACAGTATGATGTGTAGTCACAGCTTAACATATATTTGAGGACATGTTGCCTATGCTTATTCTCCAATTAATTACCCGCATAATAACTCATCGAGTTTCTGCATTGGCAGAATTGCCATCGTTTCACCCACAGACAAACTAGGCAATAAGTGGGGAAGGACTGCAGAAAATAAAAACTTTTCAAAGTATAATTCCAATGTGAATAAATGGAGGTCATATCCAATCACTGTCCATTGATTACATCGCATTAGACGAAGAATATGTTTCAGTACCAGTCTCCTGCGTAATAATGCATTGGAATTCACTTCTGAGACAAGTGACGGTACTTCACCAGGTAAGCACACTGAAAGGACTTGATACACAGACATAGATGTTACGGAATTTAACGGACCACCCATAGAACAAACAAGGGTTTAAAGGGACTGGAAATATCCTAGATGCATGGCATACTACACAAGCACAAGTTGTAACACGATCGGGATTTCTCAAGGCAACAGAACTTAATTAGATCCAACTATCAAAGCACTAGATCTACGATATTAGCCATACATTTAGATGAATAGGCATGAAATAGGGACTTTCCCCAGCAACTGAATCCTGCTTATTAAAGACTCATAAGCTGTCTTGATAAAACTTGAGTCAGCTTTAAAACTAGACTAAATGCATCAACAGTCGTCAACGCTGAAAAAAGAAAACTTACCACTCAGTTTAGAAAGGCGTAGCTTCGCATTCTCCCACTGGTTTAACATATTTGGAAACAAGTCATTCAGTGCTTAAAGATAAATAGAGTGAAATTGTAAGATACCTTTGTACTCAGCTTGCCCAGTAACTGCAAATACGTTGGCTTGCGGCGCAGCCTGAACCTTTGGGTTCTTAAAATGTATCATTGTGCCGTCTGTTTTATACATGTTGACCTGACATAAATTAGAGTATTGTAAAAATTATACCTCCTCAATCGTAGGAATAGTGTTAAGACTGAGCTTTTTAAGAGAACTCTGCAGTTTCTTATCGTCAGCAGCCGCATTCTTGTGAACAACCTTTTTCTTTCGACGAGCAGTCCCCTTACCACCGATGCGCACTTGATCACTCATACCCTTGAACTTCTCAAGCTTCTCTAAACGCGCTTTATCGATATCCATTTTGAAGCTTTCTGAAAAACAATGACTGTATTAGTACGGAATACTCACATGAACGATACCGACAGTCCGTCCACACTAGTCACGCCCAGGGTAACCTTGAAATGAGCGTCTATGTGCACGGCAGAATTAAAACAATGGTAACTCTATACCACAATTTTCACCACGTGTAGTATGAAAACAGAGTAAAATTTTCTACGGTTCAAAGCCAATAACGTTCACTTTTAGGTGTCGTATGCTATTCTAAGTACAACAAATGGTCTCAAAGAAATTAACAAATTAGAACTGTTCAACACCTCAAAGTAGGAATCAATTAGGAAATTGTTAATCAGTGAAAACTGACATTATAACATGCAGAAATAAATTATGGCAGGCCAGATGAACGACCAACCAAATGACCTTGTATAATATGCAAAAAATCCTTCTAGAATCTATTTCATCAATTGTATTCATGAGCTAATCTGAGAATTCCATCACGACATTTTATCACTCAGACCTACTTCTACGCCTCGGGTTGAGCCTAGCTTCTTTGAATTACTTGACTATGTAAATATAGTCAACTTTGCCACTCGACTTGACAAAACATTGGATTTAGTGTCCACAAATGAAGCTGGAATATATGAAGTACCCAAACATGCTCCCGTAGTGAAATCAGATCATCCTATTATTCGACTGTTGCCCGAAATATGTAGCAATTAACACACAAGTGTCTTCCCACACCTTTCCGAAAGAACTCAACAGAGCTGACACTGACAGGATAATATACGTAAACTTAGGGACACGTTAAATGGTACCGACTGGGAACTACTTGCTGAGCACACATTGAATGATACAATCATAAATATCACGGGTTATTTAAAATTCTAACTCGACGTACAGTGCCATTAACAGACCCTGTTTAGAAGGCTTGACCCTTTCTCTTCTAGTTATCTCAAAAATCCATGAGGAGAAAAAGAGTGGCTACGCAGGTCTAAAGACAAATATTATTTAAAAAGGGTAAACATCCTAATTAAATCAGAAATCCAAAAGCTGAACACCACTTATAACCAAAGGCTCTTGCCTTGCAAAACTTCCGGAACTACGTCGGAAACTTTTAGTGAAATTAAAGGTTGTAGTAAGTAATACATTAATAACTCTATTGATGTAAATGCTTTCAAAAATTCGTTCATTCTCTCTCCTAGAGATGCCGCTGTCCCCAATATAACAAGTAACAAGGTCAATGACTGTCATGCTTTTAAGACTTTTGATGTTAAGCGTGTGAAATCCCTAAAACCCTCCCAGGGCCTAGGTTCCGATGGTTCACATACTGTTGTCCTCAAGAGTTGTGCTAATATTTCATGTTACCCACTTACATACATATTCAATACTTCCCTTCCCAGTAATGTTGTACCTGCTGCATGGGAAGACATTAAAATCATCCTAATACCCAGATCAAGTTCTGGTAATAATGTTAAATTTCGGCCTGTTGCAATTACCCCTCCTTTTTGAAATTAATGGAGAAACCACTCTTAGACAAGCTTGTGCCCTCTCTAAAAGATTTTAATGATCCCAAATAGTTTGCTTATAAGCAAGGTGGACGCACCTTAGATGCTGTCGCTGCATCACAACATAACACTGTCTCTTCCCTAGACAAAGGCCTCAAATATGTACGTGGGAACTTCCTCGACTGCACAGCTGCCTTTGACTCAGTACCTAGATGCCTTTTGTTAAATAAGCCTTCTTTTGCGCAATCTGAGTCCTGGGCTGTTAACTGGTTGCATGCTTATTTCTCAAACAGAATCCACTACAGTGTATATAGGGGTGAATCTTGTTCTGCTTTGTTTTCCAAAGTTAGTTTTCCTCAGAGTGCTGCTACCTCTCCTTTTCTCTTTTCTTATTGTGTGACTTACTGAAATCAACTTCGTCAAATACCCTGACGATCTGGCCGTCTCGCTTCTTGCCAAGTCCCAATCAGACAGTCTCAATTTCTTTTTGTCAAAAATCAGCCAGTGGTCTGAGCTAAATGGTCTTACGTTAAATCCCTTAAAATGTCAGACTGCTGACTCCTTTAAACATAAAAGTGACCTAAAACGACTGATTAATGCGCAAGATGCTCGTAGCATATAGGTGATTGCAATGAAACTAGGTCTAACACAAAATACTTTGGTATAGTTCTATCCTCTGGCCTTACTTTGTTGTCCCATATCTTATCGATCTCCAAGAAAATGTTTCGTCTCAGCTACTACATCAATAATAATGTTAAAAATATATTCATTCTTTTCTATGTAGAACCCACCAGTTTTACAGGCATGGAAATTACACAAATTTGGTCTACGGTGAAATTACATGGTTGATGTCTTTTCTGTCCTTAGTTTGTGAGAACAATCTGCCAACTAGTCATTCAATGGAGCAAGGCAAGAAATATAGATATAATGTCTTCGCATTAGCAGAAAAACCCAAGTATGTGTCGGGTGGATGACAAATACTTGAGAAAAAAGTTAAGCTTGAAGTCATTTCCCCATATAACTTTGTTGTGTACGGCATCGAATCTTATTCTTGAAAAATGTCCAAATCGGACATCAGCTTTAACATAAGTGATTCATTTACAGCATTTTTTCAGCATCTTCATCGTAAGAAATATCGGAAGTGAACTGTACTCAATGTAGACTAATATCGGTTATAGCCGGGCAGATTTGTTTTACTGTGCCGTGGTCAGCCACCATTTTTCCCTGTATGGTGTTCCGCACAAGTAGGGAGATGTAGAAAACTATTCGTAAACCATTTTAGGTCTTGGATACTGTTTGTATACGATGTTATGCAGCGTCCTGTTGTGATGACAGGGGTTTTTTCAAGGATGTTGTTATAACAGGCCAAAAGCTTGAAGGAGGTTAAGGTATATGTAAGTAAATGGCTTCAAGTCCTGCTCAACCCAAGTCTCACTGCAGGTCTATGCAGTTTACACTACAGGGTAAATAGAAGAGGCTAGTTAAGCGGCAAAGCACCAGGAAGGGAAAAGTGTATGGACATAAGAAGTTTTTTGATGTTGGTATATAAACATGCTTATATTTATTGCACGGCTGAAATTATCCGTAACTTATCAAGGTCATTGGTGGAGTGAGACGCTCGAAGGTCATTTTCGTCCATTTTAGTCGGCCATGTTGGATCGCAGTTCCGTAGCTGTTCGTTACGCGTTTGTTGTTCCGTTTATCCTGCCGTTATACACGACTTATCTTGTTGCGTATCGTTCACAAATGTTGCGTTTCACCTCATTTTTTGTTTCCGTTGCTGTTAAAATGAATTATTTCTTTGGTTTCGAAAGTTTTCACTACCAGGCCAGTGCATTCATTTCGGTGTAATTGTTTTCATACCTTGCATTCATGCGGCTTTCAGTGTTTTAGTTGGTTTTCAGCTGTTAATGAATTAGTACTGTGTAGAGGGTTTTGAAATTGTGCACATGAAGATGTTTGGCTGTCAGAAGCAGTTGTTTCCAGTCCATTAGTTGGTTGCCGTTACTATTGTTGGCTCAGTTACTTGCATAACATGTAGAAATCTGGAAAAAGAGTGTCTTTTTCGTTCATGTTTGCAGCATACAACAATCTGCGAGTGAATCTGTTGAAGAGAGCACCATCAGAGTTGGTATTAGCAAGGTTTTCGAAGAACAAATTAAACCCAGAGAATTTAGAACCTGGGTTGAAGTTGAAAAAGCTTTGAAGATTTTTGAGAATGTGAATATACCATCCGTGTGTCTGCTATCATTTAAAAAAATATATTGTGAGAGAATCTAAGCCAAATAAGGTTGAGCCGCATGAAAAGTATGAATCTGTTGTGCTTGTGTATATTTTGGGGGAACTAAAAGAACCTGGAATCCTTAAGGGTAAGTGTTACTTATGCTTATTATTGCTTGATGTACTAGATCGCAATAAATGAACTAGGACTACCCGTAATAGAGCCAGTGTTAACATCCATTCGATGGGTTGCAAAACGGTTTTCAAAGCGGATAAAATACGGTGATCTGGTGAGTGTACAAACAATCCCAGTTAAAGGTAAGACATTAATTAGGAAGAATAACGTTTCGGGTTGTAGTCTACGATTGGTGGTTTCCTCGAAGTTGTGATTCTTCCGTGACTATAGACACAGATGTTCACGATCTTAAAAAAAACTAAATAAATTATCCTTGAACCAGTAGTCTTCTTTTCTTCGGCGAAACATCCGTTAATACGACTATACGATTAGGTAGCGAAGTAAGATGTTATGTGACTGAGAATCGTGGTTGTTGTGTTTCTGACTAATTTCGCGCATCTGACTTATAACCGCATGGATATAGCGTTTTCCTCATGGTACATTATGATATCTAGAAATCATAAGCACGCTGCCATCGGTAAATTTATTTTTACTTTTTAAATGGCTGCAAATAGTGAGTCGTTTGCGGTGATAGGATGAATACCTCTGAACGTTTTTGTGGAGACTAGGGTATATTTAATTTTTTCGAGTAAGGGACGATCTTTTTACCAAGAAAGTTCTCGGAATTTTCGTTATTCAAAGATAACGCTAAGTTGCCCACTAAGGTGGTAACTATAGGAGATAACCTTCAGCGGAAACTATATTAATGTAGTTTTAGGTAATGCGTCATAGAAGTAAGCATCGTAGGTTAATTGTGTCTAAATGTATTAAACGTTGTATAACTGATCAAACCATAGTTCTTACGTGCGAGTTAGTTTTATAAATAATGAATGTACCGTACAAGCGTCTACCATGATTTGCATACCTAGCTCATAAACATTATGCCTGCATGTGGCATACATTTAGGGCCAACACGCTGCGATGAATCAGTCCGAGATACTTAAGTCAGACTTCATTTCCATATCACTATTATCAATTTTGCAACGGTCATAGGAATTAACACCTTCAACTAACTTTCGTTTACATCGGAAACTGAAAATAACAGTCTGACATTTCGAAGGATTTAGTTTAAGAGCATTTTCCCACTCCTAATAGAGAGCTGTTCATCTTAGTACAGTGTAGCT